TTTTAAAGGTGTCTTGACGGGCAAAAATAACGCTGACAAGGTTGACAACGTTTATCTATATTGCCGTTTTTTCTTATACTTTTAATCCGACTAATGGTCACAATGGAAAATTCGCGGCTTATAATAATTGTTTCTTGCATTTTCATACTTCCATGTAATTAAATTATGTATTTAATTGATTTAGTATTTCTATCTGTCTAATTTTGGCTTTATGGTGTGATAACTCAGACTGAGGATATTACTAAAGTAATTAATAAGCATGTACTAAAAAACGAAACACCGTAGTCAATTAAAAAGTGGTCAACTGACTGGTAAATTAAGAATTGGTCAATTGACCAGTCCTAACACTGTGTGTCAGTCTTATGTGCGGTACAAGTTGCTTGTAGATGTAAGTGAGACTTTTTATAAACCGTTTATAGATAAATTGTCTTCGATCCAGACACCACCTTCTCAAAAAAGTGGAAGGTGTCAGCTGAAAATTTACAAAAGAACTGCTTTGACCATCCACCAAAAACCTTATTATTGTTGACGTCTTGTAGAAATTCTCTTTTTACATGAGGTCAAACCCAATCCCCACATTGTCACTGTATGTAGAACACTGTCCATCTAAACCCGAACTAGATGGTTTTCTACATGCGACTAAAAGTGCAATAACTGTTTAAACAATAGTCTCAATATCGCCAAGTGTAGTGGTTAGAATATAAATTAAAGAAACATCCATGTCATCCTCCACGTGCAATTAATGAAATAATATAAGGTTCAGAAGACGTCATCTATATGTAAGCCACTAAGTAAACGTAAATATTTATGTAAATACGTTATTATATTGGTCTTAACGGTACTCCGCTGCGACCAGTTAATGGTTGGCTGCAAACTTCTCAGGCAAGGGCGATTTATAGAGTTTTCGATATCTGAGATGCTTCCTTATTCTTTGTTGTCTGATCAAACGTCCTCGAAATCAATATGAATAATAATCTCTTAAACTGCAGTTGAATGAATAAAAATATTTTCTAGTAAATGTGTTTTTACTTTTCCCGTTCATATTGGTGCTGTCCAACTACTTCGCAACGTTTTCTACGGAATGAACTCTAGCCGTAAGTAAAAACCCTACCTGCATGCATACATTATCATATTTCAATGGGAATTGCAGGTACGAAACGTCAGTATCAAAACTACCTTCTAATTTTTGGGAACCTTTAGATTTAAATAATTATTATATATGCATAGAATCTATGGGGTTAAATGAAATGTTATATTGTTTGAAGCAAAAGGGTTTTCACGGTACTTATTAGAATCTTTACCCTTTTTTTCGTATCGTTTTTAATGGAATATTTTTTAGAACGTTTTGCGCATCGGGCATCTGCTTAAAATATTGCCGAAAATATTGTCTAATACTGATCTGACTAAACCTTTTTTGTATTTTAAATGCTTGGGTAACGCACAACGGTACACGACAGTAACTTTTTATTCAGCAAGTGGAAATGGCTTTATAAGAATAATTGTTTATTTATGACACTTGAATATCCGTTGAATAAATTAATACCAAATAAGCTTTCAAGCCACGGTAATGTGCTTAAAGTGTTTTTCTGTGTGCCGTTTCCACGCAGAATTGCCCACTTCATGTATATTTACAATTATGTGCTTACCTCTCAAATTGTGTTTCTGTATGCGCATGGCTTATTAGGCAAATAGAAAATAGCGATGGAAAAACGCAAACGGCAAAATAAGAAAATATAAAATCGACTCGGCTTAAAATTTAAATAACGAATAATAAATTGTAATAATAATAATAAATATTTGATACCAATGCAATTTATTTAAAATAGATTCTGCTCGCTATTCTAAAATCCCCAAGTGTGACGTAGGACTTTTAGAATTGTAGGAACCAAATCAATCGGTTTGTCATTTACATTATAATGCTTCGTCAATTTTTGTAATCTTTTTAATTATTGCAGAGTTCGTGATCATTTGTCAATATTGTAGTAACTATTGCTTTGTAAACATTAAAATTGGAAATAAAAAAAAAAGTTTGAGTATTTAACTGAAAATCAAAATATAACCTAGAAATATTATTATTATTACGTTTGCAACAGTGTCTGAATATTGGTATTTGTGTTACTCCCATCAGCGGTTTTAAATGTCATAGTCTTTGTTCGTTACTTTGCATAATGACTTTGTGATGATAATTGCTAAAGTTTAGATTTATTTGTGAACCTATTTTTTTTAGATGTATTTGGAGATGCTTTATTGATACCTTATACTGCATGCAACCTAAATTGTCAGTAAATACATAAATAAATATTGGTATAGAACATTTCAGTCCTATAGTACATTTTGAAACAACAACATATAAATAATTCTTTAGTTTATAGGTTACATTTTCATTTAATACTCATTATAATATAATATAATACAATATAATACTCTAACTTCGTTGTTCCAATTAGAATTTTTAGTAGATTTTATCTACTGGTGGTGTTTTGACATTTGTTAGTTCTGTCGGTCACCCCACCTGTCACTCTTCATTCACTGAGTGCTGCTTTGTAAAAATGTATCCAAAAACTAACTGTCGCAGAAAAAGTACAGTATGCAGTCCTTTATTGAAATCATAAGCCAAGTAACAATTATTGAACTTGTGGCAGAATATGCTATTTTATTTAGTCGATGAACCCAATGTACTCATTCCGCACTGAAATACATATTTTTTTATATCTATCTATCTGTAAGCATCAGCAACGTGTTTTATTTCTGCCACCTGGTTGCTAAAATGGGAAATAGCGTCTCAAATTCGGCAATCGGATGGGAAGAAGGGATGCGATCTCCGACATCGTATTGTTCCCCCCTCGACGAGCATAGTTCGCGACATTTTTTTTAGATGGCAGCAGTCGGCAATGAGATAAATTGTTTCCGAAACGAAGCCAAGAACATTTTTTTGTTGAAACTCAATTCTTTTTGAACGTTTGGTTTGTTGAGATGATAAACACCCTTAAATTAAGCTATGGTCAGATGAAAAAGTATAGTTATGCTCGTATGCGTATCCGGTATGCGGCTTTGCAGGCTTCACAATTTCATGCTTGCGTGATAAAGTATCATTTTACGCAAATATATATATAGCAAGCGGCAACTTCTAAAGATTCGACTTAATTGAGAATGGCGTATTATAGAATGAGGAATATCGGGGTATGGTGTAAAAGTTAAAGTTTGATTCGAGTCACATTAAAACCATTCTAGTGAAAAATTCGAAAGAAATCTTCAACAATACAATCCAACTCAGTATAATAATAATTAATTTTAGTTAAAGAAAATATCCAATTTTTCTGATCAAGCTCATCGATGCTAATTTGCTAATCTACCTTCAAAACGCAATCGATAATAGAGCGTTTCATTAGTTTAGTATTAAAAGAAATGTTTTACGTTTCAAAAGTTCTTTGAACTAGTGCAAAATTATTATAAATTACTAAGTAATTCGTTTCAGAAATTGTGTTAACGGTAAAAAAAAGATCGTTATTGAATTTTCAATAAAACTTCCACAGGCTACTGTATTTCTATTTACAAATCTTCTGGATTCCTCTAGATATATCAAATTGGCTTTTGAGTATATCAAAAAACAGTAATTCCACTGGCGTTTGGATCCAAATTTTATATTCTGCAAAATGTATACATTTAACTCACTTAGTTTTTGATCTCTTGTTTTCCAGCAGCCTAAAATTTGCAAATTACATTAGCCTGTTAGAGTCTAATTTTTTTCACACGCTTTTGTCCAGAATTTGATGATCAGAAGTCGCTTGGAAATGTCAGATAATTTTCCAATTATGAGTAAATTACTTTTCTAAACAGGGGCCATGTTTTATTATCAGTAGTACTGATCGTGTGAGGGTCACAAAAGAAATCATGTCAATTAGAGTACCCACGTGAGGAGGAAACACACTGAAATTGTTGGTGAAAATTATCTAATCAAAATACCAACAAATAGTAGCAGTAATAATATATAGCATAATAAATCAGAGCTCATAGATATTGCCAATTGAATTGGCATTTATATTTTCTTTTCAAGAAAAATTCAAAAATGTTTGCGTATACTAGAGAGCGAATGGGCAAGTTCGACATCAAAAATAAAAAGCAATTTCTTCAATATATTTTCTAATATTCTTGTTTATTCATAATATACCGTACTCAGGTAATGCAAATACAAAACTGCATAGAGTCATGTGGGGCAAGAGTGCTCATTTTTTTTTCTATGGTCATAAAATTGTAATAATTGTACAAAATAAATTGAAATAAAAGTATTTATTTAAAGGATTTATTGATTTAACAATTACGTAACATGAAATTCAATTTACTTAATTGTAATTAAAGAAATAAAATAAAATAAATGGTAGTCAGAATGCGCACACTTACCCCAATATTGGGGTAAACGTGCGCAGCACTGCGGGTAAGTGTGCGCATTTGTAATAATTTAAACCATAACTTGTTACATATAGTTACACCATATTTAATGTTATAAATATTATTTTTTATCAATACTTATCATTTCTTACTTCATTTTTTATATTTATATATTAAATATATAATTTTTGACAAATACTGTTTAACTTGATTTTTATCGAGAATAAGGCTTAGAGTAGTTAACAGTTTTGAATAGAGATAAATTCAAATGAGATCGTTTTTAACGAATATGAATATGATAAAATCTTAATTATTAGAACATATATCACATATGAAAGTACCAGTTTCATAATGAGTGCACTGTTCATGCCACCAGCTATGACATAAGCTACATTTAATCCAATCCTCTGTAGGTGGATCAACGTATTTTTCACCACACAATGCACAGTAATCATTATTTTCCTTAAAATCATTAATATTTTCTTGACTAGCCTTAACTTTAACAGCCTTATCTTTGGTAGTAGTATTCTTCTTTGTTTTTTTTTTTTTAGAATTTTCAGTTTTATTTGCACAAGCATTTTCTTGTTTCAATTCTAAACGTCGTTTCTTTTTAGCTATTTTTTCTTCTTCCTGACTTTTTTTTCCAATTCTAATTTCAAAGGGCTATCAGTAGCGACAATAGATTTTTTACCTTTTCTACGTCTTGTTTGTTCTTTCGCTTTCGGAAACGGTTGGATTGATGACAAAGGTGTATATAAATTAGAACATGTATCTGCAGCTGGTTGAGAACCTGATGATGGAGTCACTACAACTAAAGCTAAATCTGTTACAGTGCTCACGTGTGATGAAGTTGGTAGTGGATACAATGTTGAAGACGTACTCGGTTGAAGTTCTGATACAGTTAAAGCATTAGAAGTACTTGGCAAAGACTCTGATGTAGAAAATGCAGTAGATCTAGTAGCTGTGATATTCTGTGAGCTACTTTTCTCAGATGATGTACATGGAAGGTTTATGTCAGTAACAGAAGCTGCTGCGAAATCTTCTTCTGAAAAAATTTCTCTATCGATAGGCCATATCCCAGAAGTTCTAAAACCTGAAGTAGCATTATTAACAGTTGCGACTTTTTTTAAAGCTTCATTAACTAGTTGAGCCACTTCTGTCTGCCCAATGACCCGTCCTGGGTTACTACTTAACCATTTGTCACACTCGTAAGCAAATTTCGTTTTCAATGGTCCCAAAAATCCACGATCTAGAGGTTGCATTTTGTGGCTACTGTGTGGTGGAAGAGTAAGTAAATGAATACCATTTTCACGACAAAAGTTGACGGCAGCTAAAGAAAGATGACTACTGTGGTTATCTAATATCAATAACACTGGATTCTCTTTAGTGGGTTGCACGTTGTCTTTAAAGTAATGAAGATATTCTAAGAACATATTGGTATTTACAAATCGAGAATCAGAAACCATTCCAATACTTCCTGGAGGTGCATTATTTAGTAAATAACCCTTCATTCTTTTACGAGGAAAAATAAAAGCCGGCGGAACATAACTTTCCGTAGCACTCATGGCACAAACTAAAGTAATGGTTCGTCCTCTCTCAGCTGAAACTATTTTTCCTACTAACTTTTTACCTTTGATTGAAATCTTCTTTGGCACAGTATTAATACCACTTTCATCCATATTATAAATCCTAGTAGGCTTAAACTTATACTGGTCTTGAAGACTCTGCAAGTTGTCGTAAAACTGATTGACCTGGAAACGATTAAACCCCATTGCTTTAGCTATTACTCTTTGACCCGCTGGCTCCAATTCACGTCCGTTTTTTGGTTAATATAAAAAAAATTCTTACCGTTTTTTTCTGACTGTGATTAAATATATAAACTATTTTCGAGTGTAACTTTTTATTGATTGGTCTCTGGGCCACAGAACGTTTTGAAAGAAATTTTAGTTATTTTATTTTAAAAAAATAAAATTAAAAATATCTTTGGCAACAAACACTTATACTTAAGTTATCTGTAATATCTACTTCTACCGACTTTTAAAAACATGATTAAATGTTGACCTTGATGTTCTTCCGTCTGTCACTAAAGAATATAGATTTCAATATTGTTGAGCGGTTTCAATTTTTATCTTTTACATAAAGGAGAAAAAAACGTTAATACCGGCAATTTTTTTCAGAAAATTTGGATGGCACTAATGTGTTCTACAACCTGAATTTTAGAATAGAATACACAAAATAGAATAGAAATGTTAGGGACAAATAGCTAAAAGGTCGGGTTTCCCTAAAATATTAGAACGCAGTATTCTTGAAAATTTTTTATTGTATAATAGTCTACAAATTTGTTTTTTTTTTATCTTTTGTGGTTATTCGAAACATTTTCAGTACTAAACTAATATCTAGCCAAAAGATGTAGAGATGTAGGTTAACAAAACCTGTTCAACAACGTGTGAGTGCGACGTGACTAATATTTGGGGCTTTTTTGTTATATGCGAAATTGTCAGATCTTTTTTATTAATTAATTTTTTTTAGAGTTATAATTGTATTAAAAAGTATAGCTAAAAACAATACACGTTTTTTTGATCAGTTCATATTGAAATCCCAATAATAATAATAATAATTTAGCAATATATTATTTTTTCTGCTTGTTCCATTACTACTTCCCTATTTCAGGGGTTTTTGCTTCCAGATAAATGTTTTGCCAATTAAAATTTTAAAATTTTACTATTTCCAAAAATTGCTACATAGCTAAATAGCTACATTTTAACAAATGTCGAAGAAATAATTTGGGCCTGTGACTAAAGTGTGGGTGGAGCGTCACGTACATAAAACATGACGTCAATTGTCGAGGTTATTCGACGCTCGTGCTGTTTTATCCGCCGCACTATCCTATATCTGCCGTTAAACTACATCCTCTCGCGGCACATAATATCGAAAATATGAGGCGTCGACGCCAGCCAGAAGCGTTCCCCACAAAACAAGGACATTAAAAATCCATATAGATTGCAGGCAGGGCAGCATTGTTACCGAATATGATGGATGTGGCTTTCTTTGGCCGCCTCACCGCCCAAAATCAATTTGTCTTCTTCTTCGCTGAAAGTATATAATGATGCTCGCGAGGATAAGAAGACAGCGACGACTTAAAATAGATCGCTAATACATTACGGGTGGGTAATACGTTCCGTGGCGGTGATGAGATGTGGGTTTTAAAAAATGATTCGCCAGAAAATATCGTTTTTGCTTCGCGATAATAACGCGGATATTTGTAAAAAGTGCGTCCTTAATCTCTCGCGAACTAAAATCGTTACTCTAATGACGGAATCAGATCACCTCTAAAGTGCTACGAACGTTATCTACTCTATTGGTGTGTTGAAATTTGTGCACCACGTTATTTATATTTTAAAAGACAGAAAAAAATATTACTGACAATGAAATTTTTGCAGGTCTCAAGTAAAAATATAAAAAACCAATTTGAACGATGACGAACTTGCTAAAATTATAATAAAAAGGTTATGTTTTTTAACGTTTAACATTTTTAGCATAATTTTAGCGATTTTGGCCGTGCATCAAAATATTGTTTTATCTTTTGACTTAAAAAAAGGTGCATTTTGAAAAATGTCATAAATCAAATTTGTTGCAAATGAAATAAGTTTTTCAAATAAAATTATTTAATTTAATATTATTTTATAAGTAACAGGTTTACCCCCAGATGTTGTGTGTGCGCCGAACTTGTCTGTATTTAAACGTCGCTTGGAGATTGTGTTGTTTCACAGCAATAACTAAATATTTAATATATGTCTAACAATCTTTTGCTACTATCAATGTGCACTTTATTCTTGTAATAATAATAATAATAATCATAATCATAATTTTCAAATTAAATTTTTTAAAAATTATTTGGCACCAAAAAATGTTTTTGCTGCTTGACAGCAGTGTACAATAATTTATTGGAATTTAATATGGTTTGAAAATTGTCATAAAAAGGAAATAGTTTATAGAATATAACATGCCATAAAAATTTGGTGCATTAATATCTTAACACCCTGTATAGGAGAAGAATTCTTAATGCACTTAAGAATTTTAAAAAATCTCAATAATTTTATTTCTTTCTTTCCTTTGTTTTTGTCAATTCTTTCACATTCTTTTAATTTTTACAAAATTTCATAGACTAACCCAAAAGCCTATTTTAAACCTACTAGGTGAATAATTTTTTTTATATGTGAAATTTTTATAGGTTGTTTGTAACGAATTAAGTTAATTTTACTAACTAAGAAACAAGAACATAAAAAAGTAAAGTTACGGCGCTGGTTGATATTAAGAATTAAAAAAAAGTTTTCACCTCTTCAATTAATATTATTTAGTCCTTAATAGAAGTTGCTGATTCTATTAATTATTTATTATTACCGAAATTACTAACTAAAACTGTTAAACAACGACAAACTCTTGATCAGCGTATAATTGGGTATTTTAGGGAAGGGAGAAGAAAAATACCGTTATTTAATCGAACTTCTAGAGGATTTCGTATAAGAAAAATGTATAAAACGTCATTTTTGACAAAAAATATCAATTAATTATCAAATAACAATTCTCAAATTTTTAATTTTTATATTTTTTATATAAAGCGTACTTGGAATTCTTTGTATAATGAACAGAGCAAGTACAAAAACAATACATTTTTTAAAAATTATTAAAATTTCTAATAATAAAAAAAATCGTTATTTTACAGAAAAGCTTTTTGAGATTCGATTTTTGAGTAATTTTATAACCGTTATTGATAACATTAGTAATTCGTCGTCGAAAATTTATATGTATTAAGTTTATTAGAAATTGACAAATAATGTTGAAAAAAGGTACTAAAAATTCTTGGAAGGCATTAAAGAAGGCAATTTTCCTTCAACATATGGAATGCTTTAGCTCTTGTGCTAAACCTTAAAGAAGTAAATGAAAGAAAGTAATTTTTCTATGTATTCAGTTAAATTAAATGTAAATTATTTAACTTAAATATTTTTCAGTTTCATTGTTATTGATATTTTATACAAAGAGTGCTATTGTTTGTTTTCTAAAATACATGTTCAACCTGGATGATTTTGGTTTGAGCAATTGAAACGACAACGGTACTCGAAACTTTTAATTAATCTGAATTAACAATGCAAACTTTTGACATCCTTGGCCATAAAAACGAGGGAAAAATATTTTTCCAGTCACCCGCGGGCTTCCGAACATCTCTTAATGTTTCCTGTAGCACTCCGTGTTTTTTGCATCATTAGTGACCCCCCAGCAGCATGGTCGACAAACTCGACAGTCCTGAAAAAGAAAAAGACAAAGTAAATGGAATATTTTATCTAGATCCTAATTATACGCTTTTGTGTATGCGACATTATTTTATGGCGAAAAATTGTAAAAATGAGGCGTATGTACCAATTAGGTATAATCCACAGCAGTATCTGGCAGGTCTGACGTCATGTACGTTAAAATTAAATTGAAGAAAGGAGTGTCCCTTAAAATGTATATAGAAATAAAAATCGCAAACTATATACGGCTGATTTAAATCACACGACAACAAGGTTAAGTTGCTTTTATATTAATTTGTGTATGGTCATGCTACAATTTTCTGGAAAGTCCCTGGTTTTATTAGGTTAACGTTTCCTGTATATTGCTTTCTGTTTTTTTTTTAAATAGCTTAACAAATTAATCACGACTTTCGACGGTTGCCCATTTAAAATGCTTATAAACAATTTTTGTTTGTCATTTTTTTTCAAATATTGCCTTAATGTTTGTTTGACATCGAATATGGAGAACTTGAACTACTTTTATAGTAGTTCAAGTTCGCAATCTAATTGGTGCTGCCTATCGGGTTTGGTCACCTTAAATTATAAACAAATCATATACCCATTGACAAGTTTTACTAAATATTAATATGTTTAGCGGACATTGCTGGCTAATATATAAAATTGAGTGGTAAAAAATGATATTTAGACTTAGATCATGCTTTGTGTCCAACTCATTTGGTCGAATATTTCACGAGTGTATATGTAGAAAATATTACAAAACGGTGTAAGTTTAAATATGCAGAGATGAGTAAGTGGAAGGTTGTTTTAGACAAAATTAATAAATCAGTAAATAATAATAATAAAATCAATAAATTAAAAAAGGAATCCTAATTCTTTTATAGGCACTTTCAAAAAATTATATTTCTTGTCATTTAAAAAGTATTTATTAAGCTTTAACGCTCATAAAAAGATGTATTCTATGCTTTCTGTCTAGTAGGTAACGAATAACGAATAATCATTAAAATTGCAATCTTGTGGGTTTCACTTAATTACGGTATTTTAATGTAGTTTTTCGACAAGTCTACATAGCCAATCATCATTAAAATTTCAATCTTGTGGAATGCAACTAATTACTGCATTTTGGTATACCGAGGTTTATGCGAAAGTGATAATTTATGCATGCTTGATCAGTACATCATTGCACATCATATATGTAGATTAGGGTTTCCATTTTAGAAAATATCGGATGAATTCAAATCTCAAAGTTGGGACTGTATATATAAAAAGGGTACAATTTAAAATACTACAAACTTTTCTTGCTTTTTTTTCCTTTTCTAATCGTATTTTCACCTTATGCACATTAATTTTAACAATTCTATACTTTTTTCTTAGTCAAAAGACACGTGTTACTTGTTACACGTATAACCTTAGAAACGTTTGTCGCTGATGGAACCGTCACTAAACTAATATTGCAGACGACATGTATATGTTACCGGCAATGTACA